CGGGTTTGAATTGCATCAGATTGGTGTAAGGAACAAATCAGCACGCAGCTTGTGAACAAACCTAGTCAACAGCTGGGCATTCACCCTCGGTGTGGATTTGTAATGTTTTATTTATAGTTGTGTGTGCAGTGATTCTCATTAAGGCTCTACCAGGATCTTTAGTTCAGTAGGTTCAGTAAGACTTTACTGTATTTTTACATTCACTTATTATCATTACATTATAATATTGCCTAGGTACAAATAGACACATTTATACCTATTTGTATATATTTATATTGTTATAGCATTTTATTACGTATTCTGTTTATATGATTATGTATCATATTGTTAAGGCATTCTGCTACACTAGGACATTGAAGATTTCTAAAGACCTTCACACTCAATCTTTATGGGTATCAAGGCTTTTCTCTGTCATTTATTTATTTATTTATTTTTGAGACAGAGTCTCGCTCTGTCACCCAGGCTGAAGTGCAGTGGCTCCATCTGGGTTCACTGCAATCTCTGCCTCCCAGGTTCCAGCAATTCTCCTGCCTCAGCCTTCCGAGTAGCTGGGATTATGGATGCCTGCTACCATGCCCAGCTAATTTTTGTGTTTTTAGTAGAGACGGGGTTTCACCATGTTGGCCAGGCTGGTCTCGAACTCCTGAATTCAAGTGATCTGCCCACCTCAGCCTCCCAAAGTGCTGGGATTACAGGCATGAGGCACCACACCTGACCTTTATCTACCATTTAAAATTGGCCAGCCTGACTAAAAATGGGAGGAGTATGTGTCTCCTGTGTAACCCAAAACAGTTCTAGCTAACCCGTTCCTGCCTGCTTGGCTTATGAGTGACCTTAGCAGCAGAACTGATCACTGACATAGTTTGGCTTTGTGTCCCCAGCCAAATTTCATGTGGAAATGTAATCCCTAATGTTGGAGGTAGGAGTCTGAAGGGAGATGACTGCATCATGGAGGTGAATTTCCCCTGTGGTACTGTCGTGGAGACGGTGAGGTTTTGCGAGTTCTGGTTGTTGAAAAGTGTGCGGTGCCTCCCCTCCTCCTCTCCTCCTCATGCTCTGGTCATGTGAAATGTTGGCTCTGCCTTTGTCTTCCACCTTGACTGTAAGTTCCCTGAGGCCTCCCCAGAAGCTGATATACAAGCTTCCTGTGTAGCATGCAGAACTGTGAGCCAATTAAACTCCTTTTCTTTATAAATTACTCAGTCTCAGGTATTTCTTTATAGCAATGTGAGAATGGACCAACACATTCACCACTAAACCATTGAAGTGTTTTCTCTATTATCATTAGCTTTTTTTCTTTGAGGTGAGTCTTGCTCTCTCGCCCAGGCTGGAGTGCAGTGGCATGATCTGGAAACTCTGCCTCCCGGGTTCAAGCAATTCTCCCACCTCAGCCTCCCAAGTAGCTGGGATTACTGGCATGTACCACTATGGCCTACTAATATTTGTATTTTAGTAGAGATGGTGTTTCACTATTTTGGCCAGGCTTGTCTCAAACTCCTGACCTCAAGTGACCTGCCTACCTCAGCCTCACAAAGAGCTGGGATTACAGGCGTGAGCCATCGATGCTGGCCTTTTCTCTACTATCTTTCTGATCCATGGTGTACATGGGCAAGGTGTGGCAGACATCTGTCCTACTTGCCTGCCCAGCATCCCTGACCTCTTTTAATAAAGAGAACCACCCGATGTGGTGGCTCGTGGCTGTAGTCCCAGCTACTCAGGAGGCTGAGGTGGGAGAATTGCTTGACCCCAGGAGTTCTGGGCTGTAGTGTGCTATGCTGATCAGGTGTCCACACTAAGATTGACATCAATATGGTGACCTCCTGGGAGCCAGGGACCAGCAGGTTGCCTAAGGCAGGGTGAACTGGCCCAGGTCGGAAACGGAGCAGGTCAAAACTCCCGTGATCAGTAGTGGGATCGCACCTGTGAATAGCCACTGCACTCCAGCCTGGGCAACATAGTGATGCCCCGTCTCTAAAAATAAAATAAAATAAAATAAAATAAAATAAAAATAAAGGGAACCATGATTTCTTTTAGAGACCCAAGTCTCTAAGTTTTCTTAGGCCTGGCCAACAAAGACCAAAATGGGGTCACTGAAAGAGCCAACCTGAGAATAAAGCCAACAGGGAGAAAAACAGAGCTGAGATATGGAGAAGGCCAGCTCATATGTTATTAATCTCCTGGATCAAGCTATGCCTGAAGCTGGACCTTTCCATTATCAGTTTCCTGAGTTAATTAAATCTCTTTTTTGATTGAATCAGTCTGGGTTGGATTTCTGTCTTTTTCAGGAAACAGAAAGAGTCCTGACAAGCCTGGACTTAAAAGGATTGCCATGTGGCTTGAAGGATTTAAGCAGACAATAGCCAGGAGACCCAAAGGTAGCTGCTGGCCACTAGCATTATATGTACATGTGTAATTAGCCTTTTGTCACTGTCTTCTACAGCTGTTTCAAAGACACATGGCTAACAGCCAGTTATTTACATTGAGGAATCAGTTTTAATTCCTCTCCACGAAGACCCTGCAGCTCACTCCATAAGACTGTTTATGATTTATTCTTTCGTCCCAGGTTGCCCATAACTGAAAGGCCACACACTTCGGAGCCAGATGGATCCTGGCCCTGCCATATACTAACGGTGTGACATCAGTTAATTTACTTAGCCTGATTCTGATTTCCTTGTACATGCAATAATTTTGTCAACATTCTAGGTTACTATAAAGATTCAAATGTATATGTAAAGAGCCTTGGTTTGTAGCATGTAGCTGACCCTCCAAAAGAAGTAGCTGATTATACTACTGGCCACAGGACTGAGCCCTCTCTAAGTGCTAGGGCCTGGACTAAGGGTTTTTACAGGCATTATTTCATGCAGTCCTCTGAACTACCCTGGGAGGTATGCCCTCCTGTGCTCCCCAGGGGGAAGGTACTGCATTAAGTCCTTCACATATGAAGGTATCACTAAATCCTCACCACGGTGGGAGTACAAAGAGTTCAAGGAGTGTGACCAAGGCTGTGCAGCTCTATTCCCTGTGTCCTTGCTCCATGGCTAGGCACCACTGCCCCTCCAAACTGGGCAGTCGCTGAGATGATGGTGGGACGGTGTGACGTTCCTTGGGCTCCAGCTGCCTCAAGGCATAAAGAGAGAGCAGAATCCAGGCAATGGAATGGAACCCTATCTACACTTGGAGGAGTTTTGTGGTGAGAAGAACCTCAAGGCCAAGGACAGAGCCAAGGCAGGCGTTAGGGACCACCAGACTCCAGCCTGCCACAGCATCTGGAAGGGACAAGCTAGCAGCACGCTGCCACGTTCCTGACCCTGCTAAGGACTCTTACTGGCTCCTGGGATGGGGATCTCAGCTCTGGGATGTCAGGTGTTATAGTGAATCCCAAGTTTCTCTTCAAAGAATCAGTATTCAGTCTCTTATTCTTTAATTCTCTATTTTAAACTTCCTTGTCATTCCAGTAAACAACCTTCTCCACCAGTTCTAATCAGTAATTCACATCTGCTCCCTGTCTCCCTCCTCCTCCATCCTGACTCATCTTGATTACCTGATCACCCCTGGCTACCTGCTCTGACATGCTGGTTACTGTCCGTCGCACCCTGCCACTCCAGCTGGGACCCCTCCTCTTTTTAAAATAGCCAATCAGGATTAGTCTAGCTTGTGCGGTCTAATCCTAACCAATAGGGGACTGACACAGCAGTAGGGATGACCCTGTCCGGCATAAGTATTCTTTCCCCCCTTGTCCAAGTGTGTGGCAGACAGGCCATCATTACTCGGTCCATGTGCCCTGCACCCTTCTATAGAAATAAACTGCCTTGTTGTTTACTCGACTTATCTTTAAGTGCTATTTCTTTTGCAGCATCAAAATTTTACTTACAACACCAGGGCAAACCCAGCCACATTCCCAACCCTGCGAAGGACTCTTACTAGCTCCTGGGATGGGGATCTGGGCTCTGGGATGTCAGGGAAAACCCACATTGGGTTGCCGCCAACAGGAAGTGACTGCTGGTTCTCATGGAAGCTGGTATCTGGGGTTAGCAGAGTCATTGCCAAGAACAGTGAGCCTGCTTCCCAGTCTGTCAGCTAGGAAGTGCCAAGCAAGGGACCAGCAACAAAAGGTGCAGTCATGAGCAATACACAAGAGCAGTGGAAAAGGCCTGAGGTTTTCCACTAGGAAATGGGAGGTCTTCCTGGAGCTGATCAACTTGTTCATACTGTGGAGCTGACTGTAACCAACACAGCAACGCTAGAAGGTAATGACCTACAAGATATTCTTGGTGTACTTTTCCCACAGAAATATATTATGTATCAAGCTAAGTAAATGTCTGGAAACCTGGAAAGCCCCCAAAACTGGTAGAAGCAGCTTATTTTCTTTATCTTTTTTTTTAAACTATTTCACAAAAAGAGCTAGAGAAAAGCCATGTTTCTTGGATTTAATTTTGTTCACGCAAATTTTCTTTTTTTAAAAAAAGAAGAAACTGGCACCATCTAATCTAAGGTAACCATGAAACTGTCACAGTGACTGTTTTAAAAGTTGTCTGTAATTGTGTGACTTGGAAAATTAATTTCTTTCCAGATGAAGAAACCCAAGGCAGGTCTTATGAGTGAAAATTATTGGTAACCCCCTCAGGAGGCAGCTCCAACAATGAGAAGGGGCGGAGGACCGTGTGGGACCTGCAGACAAACACAGGGCTGCTTGCAACTTGCCTAAAATAGAAAATAGATGTTAGCAACAGCTTCCCCGCCCGCCAGGCCCCTCTTTGGAAGGCTCTGTGGGAAAACAAGTACGGTGGCAGGATACTACCCCAGAGCCACTCTGGAGATGGGCAAGAGCCCCTGGGGCAGTTGGAGAGAAACGAATCCCCCCTACCCCGCCTCCTCTATCCCACCTCTGGGGAGCAGGTTCACCCACTAGACTCGCCTCCACGTGCTGATGCCCTTTTCCTTTGCTCTGCCGAAAAAGTCAAACCAGTTACTGTTTTGGTTCTTTTTTAAAGGTCTTCGAAGAATGACACATATTACACGAGTTTTATTTGGAGGAGTCATTGGCGAGGTAATGTGTTCTTCACCATGGACAAGCTTTGGCTCTGAAGCGTGAAGGGCCAGGGCTCGAATCGCAGCTTGGTCACTTGCTGTCTGGGTGACCTTCGCCTTTCTGAGCTCCTCAGCGTTAAGACACTTAGACACATGGGCTTCCATCCCCTTCCGGCCACGAGAAGGCAGGTGGCTGGCTGCGCATCACCAGGTTCACCTGAGAGGCTGGAAAAGCAGGGGGGAAGGGAGGAGTGAGGAAGAGAGGGAAGGGGGAGGAAAATACCCGAGACGACATTGATCCCAAATTGTACCTTTTGAATTATCTTAGTAACTTGCACCCCAATGGCACGGCTCACCTTAACACAGATGCCCGCACCCCGCACCCCCACACCTTCCCCCACCCCGTGCGCTCCCAAATGCTTCACAAGCAACCGACATGGCAAAGTCACACCCTCAAACTGAAACGGTTTTCCAATTTTGGAAGCTTGACTAGCCATAAAAAGGTTTTGTTTTCTTCTCTTCCCCCTCCTTCCCTGCCTCAGACGCCGCCCCCTCCCCCGCCCCCACCTCCTCCCCACCCACAGGAGCGGATCCGCGCCGGCGGCGGAACCTGCGGGCCTGTTTACCCGCGGCTGCTCCGCGGCGCTGCCCGGCACCGCCCCCTGCCGGCGGGAGTCGGAGCTGCGCCCGCGTGCGGGCCGGCCGCTGCGGGCCGATGACCCAACGCCGCAGGCATCCAAGGATAACCTTTCCCCTTTCTTTCCAAGACCAAATAAGGGGGCTCTTCCCTCAGCGCGCCGGGCCCGCGGCGGTTAGGCCAAGGGGCGTGGAAAGGAGGATCCGGGAACGAGGCTGACAGTCGGCAAAACAACCGACCACATTGTTCCCGCGGCGCCCGGCCTCCCCCTCCTCCCGCGGGCCCGGCCCGTGCCCACCCTGCAGCCGCCGGCGCGCGGAGCCGGGCGGGATCGGCGCGAACCCGGACCCCGCCGGCAGCCCCGCCAAGCCCTCCGGCCCCTTCCCCCGGAAAAGAAGCGCAGGGCAGGGTGCCCGCGGGCCCTCGCCCGGGTGCAGACCCACCAGGCCTGTGGGGCAGCAGACCCGGGACCCTGGTGAGGACCAGGCCCGACCGCCTGGCCTCAGAACCCTGGCATCGCCCCGAGGGAGGGAGTCACTGGTGGTTGACAGTGTTTGGTAACCACAGAAACCGAGATCTGACCTATATTTTCCAACATGGCCTCAACTCTAGCTTTCCTTCTAGAAATCAAAGTGAGAGGATCTGACTTGCTGCTAATTTTCCTCCTGCTTTATATTCCAAAAGCCACCCGGAAGGCTGGGAGAGTCAGGAAAGCTCGCTGGCGGTGTGGATGGCGGGTGCGGGTCCCCAGGGCTCCAGTTAGGAGGCAGAGGCTGTCCCCCGCCCACCAGCGGACGGTGTATTTCTGGAGGGCAATTGGATATTTATCAGGATTTAAAATAAGTACACAGCTCGATGATTTCATTCCGCTTCCCGTGTTTTTCCTAAGTAGGTGCTGAGAAGGGTGCACAGAGATAGACATTCTAAACACAGAGGATGGCCAGTAACGGTAGTTGGCCTTAACTGAGCATTTACTAAGTGCTAGAAACTGTTCTAAACATTTTACAAATAGCTACTCACAACACATCTCTATGCTTCGAGGACTGTATTGTGTGTGTGTGTGTGTGTGTGTGTGAGAGAGAGAGAGAGAGAGAGAGAGAGAGAGAGAGAGACAAGAGTTTCACTGTCACCCAGGCTAGAGTGCAGTGGCATGATCTCAGCTCACTGCAACCTCTGCCTCCCGGGTTCAAGCGATTCTCCTGCCTCAGCCTCCCGAGTAGCTGGGACTACAGGTGTGCACCACCACACCCAGCTAATTTTTTGTATTTTTAGGAGAGATGGGGTTTCACCATTTTAGCCAGGGTGGTCTCAAACTCCTGACCTCGTGATCCACCTTCCTGGGTCTTCCAAAGTGCTAGGATTACAGGCATGAGCCACCACACCTGGCCAGGGACAGTATTGTTAATACAGTCAGCCCTCCATATATGTGGATTCAAGCAACTGTGCATGAAAAATATATATATTTTTAATTCTGCAAAGTTCCAAAAAGCAAAACCTGAATTTGCCATACCCAAGTACTACTACATTGAATCCACGAGAATGAAATGAACTGTTGGCATTGTATGGGGTATTATAAGTAATCCAGAGGGCCAAGCATGGTGGCTTACGCCTGTAATCCCAGCACTGCCGAGGCCGGCAGATCACAAGGTCAGGAGCTTGAGACCAGCCTGGCCAATATGGTGAAATCCCGTCTCTACTAAAAATACAAAAATTAGCCTGTCATGGTGGCACACGCCTGCAGTCCCAGCTGCTATAGGCTGAGGCAGGAGAATTGCTTGAACCTGGGAGGCGGAGGTTGCAGTGAGCCGAGATCGCGCCACTGCACTCCAGCCTGGGTGACAGAGTGAGACTGCATCTCAAAAAAAAAAAAAAAAGAAAGAAAAAAGATATAATGAATCCAGAGAAGATTTAAAGTATACAGTAGGATGTGTGCAGGTTATATACAAATATCACACCATTTTATATAAGGGACTTGAGCATCTATGGATTTTGGTATGGGACTCCTCGAACCAATTCCCATTAATACCGAGGGACAACTGCACCTCCACTTAATAGAGTAGAAGCCTACTCAGGGAGGCCAGGTTTCTGCTGCCCATCACTCAGCCAGGAGTGGCAGGGCCAGGATTGATGCCACGCTCTGAGTCTCCAGAGTCTGAGCCCTTGACCGCAACACTAAATGTTTATCGGTGGGGATTTGATTAATTTAGAGTTCATCCGTATAATGGAATATTCTCTGGCCGCTTAAATGGCGATGTAGATTGGGAATAATTGGCATGGAAAAGTGTCCGTGCTGTATTGTTGAGTGAAAACAGCTGGTTATACAGGCGTGTGCCCACGGGATCCCGCAGCTGTGCAGAAGGGAGCCTATGGCTATGCTAACTGTGGTCACCTTCGGGCAGTAGAATTTCAGGTGGCTAATTTTACAGGTATGTTTTCTGCATTGTTGAACATTTTTTTTCTTGTTGTTAATCACAGTCCAGGCTGTGCTCAAATCTCACATTCTTCACATAAGCCTTTCCTGATCCCCAAAGTTGGAAGCTACAGCTCCCCATGTCCCTGACAAGTGGAAACTTGTGCTGGAAGGTTATTCAGCGGCACGAGCATGTACCTGTGTTGTCAGCTAAACTGTGAACTGGGGAGGGAGGGACAGATTGTTTCATCTTTTTCAGTATGCCCCTTTGTATGTTACATGGTACTTTACCCACTGCAGGATTCAAATATGTATCAGTAATGTGGTGTAACTCAATGATGATGGAGCAGTCCACAGAAAAATTCATTGCATTATTAGTTGTTTGAGAGCTGCTTCCATTAGCTAGGTAGTAAGTTCCTTGGGGACAAAAATGTACCTGTCCCTTTCCTATCCTGGCACTAGGGCAGTGCCTGCACACAGTAGGTGCTCCATAAATGTTTGCTAAGTAACTAAGCTGAGGCTGCTCTGCTCCAAGCAGCCACCCTTCTGAGGAATCAAAATGAGAGCTTCTTTGCTTTCCTCAGGCGCCTCTGTCTGTCAAATGATTAGTCCCCTGTATGAAGCAGACTCCTCAGCTTCATATAGGTGACTATGGTTAACATAGCAGGAAAGGGAAACTCTTGAAATGGATGGGAAGGTAGGAGAAGAAGGCTTGGAAATTGGGCAGGCAAGAGGAAGACCTGGCCAAAGTCATGCCAGGGAGGGGCAGCTGACTCTGACACCCTTGGGCACTGCCACCTCTCCCACTAGATCTCCTCCACCCCGCCATGGCCAGATGCTCCTGCAGTACATGGATTCTGTCTTGTTCCTGTGTATTGGGTCCCTGGCCTGAGAGTCAAGGCCTCAGGAGGATCAGGTGTCTAAACCCAGGTTTAGACAGGTGTCTAAACCCAGATTTCAGAGATAATACCCAAAGGAAGGTGAGTGTCTAAACCCAGGTGCCCTGCCTGGTGGTTGGGCTGGGAAACGTTTAACAGCTTGCTCACAAGTGGGAAAAGCCCTGATTTGTAGCATTTGCTGACTTCCATGGTGAAGACATTCTCATCGTCAGTGATTTTTATTTGCCAACCATTTAACAACCCGCTCAAAGGATTCCTGATAACTTAAAAGTTGATACTGTTGGGCTTGTGAGCTGTGCTCCAGCATAGTTCTATGTGCACCCCATTGTGAGATTCCTATAGTAGGGAAAACCCTCTGGAAAGGAGGCGGGAAGGATGCCACGTAGCCCCATAAATCCAGCACATGTCCATATCTGGAAGCAATCCAGGGTATTGTGGCCGGGGCGCTATCCACCCCAAAGTGTGCTAGCCCTTCTACTTGTTAACAGGAGCTTTCAGAGATAATACCCAAAGGAAGGTGAGTGATGAAACTCAAGATTGTGGGACAGGGCAGTGGGGGAGATGTTTGAAGGCAGAGGTAGATGAGGGAGAGATGTTTAGATCTGTGCCTTTCAGATCTCAAACAGTGTCCCTGCTATACCTCCAAGAACAAAGACCCTGGTAGGGTGCGGTAGCACACACCTGTAATCCCAGCACTTTGGGAGGCCGAGGCAGGCAGATCACGAGGTCAAGAGATGGAGACCATCCTGGCCAATATGGTGAAACCTTGTCTCTACTAAAAATACAAAAATTATCTGGGTGTGGTGGTATGCATCTGTAGCCCCAGCTACTTGGGAGGCTGAGGCAGGAGAATCACTTGAACGCAGGAGGCGGAGGTTGCAGTGAGCCGAGATCGCACCATTGCACTCCAGCCTGGTGACAGAGTGAGACTCTGTCTCAAAAAGAAAAAAAGGGAGCGTGGGGAATTGGCTGGTTCTTGAACAAAGAGGGCAAGATAAGCCAACGTTCATTTTCACCATGTTCTGGAACCTTACGAGATGTAAGAACATAGCAGGAAGTGGGGTGTGATGTGAGTCTGCAAGTGCACCCCAAGGGTGAGGGATCTAAGACAATGGCTGCTGGGAAGATAAGGCTAGAAGAAACCATGCTCTGTGTCCTGTCCTCTCTCACAGGCTAGCCATGTTCAGTGCTGGGTTCTACACCGAGTCATCTAATGTCTTTCCATCAGAGAAGTGCAGTGAAAAGGCCCCCTGTGGAGACTGCCTCCCTGGCCTTCCACCTCTGCTTCTGCTTTTTGTTGTTGTTTTGTTTTGAGACGGAGTCTTGCTCTGTCACCCAGGCTGGAGTGCAGTGGCTCGATCTTGGCTCACTGCAACCTCCACCTCCCGGGTTCAAGCAATTCTCCTGCCTCAGCCTCCTTAGTAGCTGGGACTACAGGCACACACCACCATGTCCAGCTAATTTTTGAATTTTTAGTAGAGATGGGGTTTCACCATGTTAGCCAGGATGGTCTCAATCTCCTGATCTCGTGATCTGCCTGCCCTGGCCTCCCAAAGTGCTGGGATTACAGGCGTGAGCCACTGTGCCCGGCCAGGGAGGAAATATTGTCTGTTCTCCTCTGCTCTCTGTGCTATCCTCTCTGACCCTACCAGACCTGCCCTGACCCCCTAACAGGGCATCTATCTTCCTTCAGGAAATGCCTCATTGAGTTGCCTGAAGAGTCCCTTATTTATTTATTTATTTATTATTTTTTGAGATGGAGTCCCACTCTGTCCCCTAGGCTGCAGTACAGTGGCACTGTTTCAGCTCACTGCAACCTCAGCCTCCTGGGTTCAAGTGATCCTCCTGCCTCAGCCTCCCAAGTAGCTGGATTACAAGCATGGGCCACCCACACCTGGCTCATTTTTGTATTTTTACTAGAGATGAGGTTTCACCTTGTTGGCCAGGCTGGTCTCGAACTCCTGGCCTCACATGATCCACCTGCATCGGCCTCCCAAAGTGCTGAGATTACAGGCATGAGCCACCACACCCAGCCAGAGTCCCTTTATTTTAAAAAACACAATAAAAATGTTCAAATACCAAGACATAGAGAGAAATGCACCTCCATGCAGACATCATGAAAGACGTTTTCCGTAGTTGCACTGTGTAAGAACAGAACTACCATGCTAAACTCTGCAAAAAGTCAGTCTCGTCTTATCTGTATGAGAGCCTTATTATTATTTGTTCCATTTTATAAATGAGAAACTGAGACCCAGAGAAGCTATGCGACTTGGCCAAGTTCACACAGCTAGTGAGGACAGGGCTGATGGCACATCTGCCCCTGGCAGGGCCACTGGAGGGTGCTACAGCCTCAGGGGTGGATGGAGCTTGGCTGGAGGCTACGGCAGGGAAGGGGGCATGTCTGTCTTGTTTTTTGTTTGAGACCGAGTTTTGCTCTTGTTGCCCAGGCTGGAGTGCAATGGCGCAATATCGGCTCACCACAATCTCCACTTCCCGGGTTCAAGCAATTCTCCTGCCTCAGCCTCCCGAGTAGCTGAGATTACAGGCATGTGCCACTACGCCTGGCTAGTTTTGTATTTTTATTAGAGACGGGGTTTCTCCATGTTTGTCAGGCTGGTCTCGAACTCCCAACCTCAGGTGATCCGCCTGCCTTGGCCTCCTGAAGTGCTGGAATTACAGGTGTGAGCCACCGCGCCTGGCCGCATGTCTGGCTAAACAAGGGGCTAGCTCCTGTGAGCTCGGCTCCCCTTATAGCCTGCTTTGCTCTGAGCCTGGGCGTCACTTATCAGGAGCTACAGGAGGAGGCAAAATCCAAGAAATCTTATCCCCAAAGAGGGACCGCGGTGAAATGCAATAGTGTGGGTGCATGGACATTCATTTGCCATTTACGTTAGCATTTATTCATTCAGTATTTACTGAGCACTGACTCTGCCCCAGCTCTGAAAATACAAACATGAGTGAGCCAGATCAGGCCCCTTGGCCCCTTGCCCTGTAGGGGAGACTCCTGCCTCTCTGGGTGACTGGCTAGATGATCTCAAATGCCTTCATTGGAGTCACTGTTTCCTTGCATGTGAAATGGGGATAATTGAGCTACTGAATTGTGCACTTTAAAGTGGTTAATTTTATGTTACAGGAAGTTTATTTCGACTTTTAAAATAGGCAGAGTGACAGCCTCTGTACAGCAAGACTGTTGTGAAGATGAAGTCAGCTTACACACATAGATGAGTGGGACCCCATACCTCCTTCCACGCCCATGGGCAGGGTAAGATTCCAAGTACTGAGCGACCTGGAAGGCAGAGGCAGCAGCCAGTGAGAAGATCAGAACCAGGTTGGCCAGTGAGCTGAATATGGGCCTTGGTGTTGCTATGCTTTCAGACAGATCCCTAGACGGCTCTGGCTAGTGGGTGCTCTTTGGTCTCATGAGTAGGTTTCCGGCCAGGCATGGTGGCTCATGCCTGTAAACCTGGCAGTTTGCGAGGCTGAGACTGGCAGATCACTCGAGATCAGGAGTTCAAGGCCAGCCTGGTCAACATGGTGAAACCCCGTCTCTACTAAAAATACAAAAATTAGCCAGGCATGGTGGTGCACACTTGTAATCACAGCTACTTGGGAGTGAGGCAGGAGGATAGATTGAACCCAGGAGGCAGAAGTTACAGTAAGCCGAGATCACGCCACTGCACTCCAGCCTGGGTGACAGAGCAGAGTGACATTCCATCTCAAAAAAATAAAAATTAAAAAAAAAAAAAATAAGTAGGTTTCCCAAAGGGAAAGTGGAGGCTGGAGTGCAGATCGTGCTGCTGGTCTCTAGGGTTGGAAGCACGTGTGGATGGACCCCACTCCTAACCCCCATGCCCATCCCTTCTAATACACCCACGCTTGTAAGGGCAGGGTCAAGAATACCTGGAGAGTAACAACAGATTAGAGACATACCCAGATCCTCCTCTCGTGCTTAACGCCTGTGTCTTTCACTCCAGTGGGTTCCTGCAAGAGAAAGAACAGTTTGCTCCTCTCGCCTTGGTAACGAGCTCTTCCTAAGGACCTGCCATGCCCAAAGTTCCCACAGAAAGTTGCATGGGTTCCCGTGTACCTGCTGGAGGGGAGAGGTGTGAGCAAGAGCTTTGCCCAGTACTGCTACAAATTAACCTGAAATAAATTAATTTGTTCTGTGCTAGTTACAGGAATGTTACAAAGCTTCTTCTTTTAAAGTGGCAGCAAATGTCTTCTAATTTTAATGAGGATGATGCTGGGGAAAAAAAGTCTCTAGAAAGGTTTTCTCTTCTTCTAAAATGTTAGGCTGTCTACGTCTCATTACTCGGGGAAGGTTCTCTTTCTCCTGCCTCTTCCATGTTATTAAAAACCAGTTTGTTCCCACGTTCATGTGTGGCTATAGGATTAGACCACATGCAAGAAATTCAACAATTGGAACTGGGATTGGAATTGGGGTCGGACTGGGGAGAAAAAGTCTGCCAGCTCTATTTACAGAAACCCACATGGAAAGATAAATTGCACTGGGAAACTCTGACTGTCGAGTGAAATATTAATACATCATTGTGAAGTATTCTAAATCACATTCCTCAGTATCGCTTTCCCCATTTGGCTGCTACCAGTAAATTGAGATATGTGATCCTATAGTGTAGTGCTGCTCTCCCTCTCCCCCAGAAGCTCACTGGGATTAGAAAATGCTAATGAATTAGGTGGCACATGACTCTGAATATGCTATTATTACACCTACGTTACAGATAAGAGACTGAATCATCAAAAACATTTAAATGATCTGCCTGGTGTCAAATTAGAAGTCACTGGTGATGAGTTGGGTGAGGTGGCTCACACCTGTAATCCCAACACTTTTGGAGGGCAAGGTGGGTGGATCACTTGAGGTCAGGAGTTCGAGACCAGCCTGGCCAACACGGCAAAGCCCTGTCTCTACTAAAATACTAAAAAATACTAGGCACGGTGGTGGGCATCTGCAATCCCAGTCACTCGGGAAGGTGAGGTAGGAGAATAGCTTGAACCCAGGAGGCAGTGGTTGCAGTGAGCCAAGATTGCATCATTGTACTCCAGCCTAGGAGACAAAAGTGAGACTTGTCTCAAAAAAAAAAAAAAAAAAAAAGAAAGAAAGAAAGAAAAAGTCACTGGGGATGATTTGGAAGGACCTGCTGCTCTACCTTGGCTGATGTAAATTCATAGTTTCCCCCAGCCCCAGGCCAAGGTTAACAGACAAATGAGAGGCAAGATATTTCCTGAACTCTCTAGTCTTCAGACCTCTCCCCATTATGGAAGAAAGGGCAGGCTGTGAGGAATCCTGTAGAGACAGAGGCATCTGGGAGGACCAGTGTGGGGACTGCACACCTGCTGTTGACTGACTGTTGCTAGGAGGACAGGGACAGATGATTCCAAATGGAGAAACAGGCACATTGCTCCAGGGCTGCTGCTGCGGGCCCCCGCTCAAAGTTGCTTAGAAGACCTGTATGTGTTTGATATATAGCTCTGAGGGGCGTGAAGCAGGTGAGGATGCAGGGGTGCCTTGCACTGTCCCTGCTCTGTTCACCTTTTATTTTGAGACCAGGAGCCTGGGACAAACTACGTCTCCCAAAGACTGCTGAGAAGAGACCACTCAGATTGCTTTTAGCTCAGACCAAGAGAGGAATGAAAGCCTGGGAAACTTGGAGAGGGCGCTGGATCCTGAAAACGTTGTCATTTCAACCCTGGGGAGGCTTTGATGTTTGTGGGAGATGGAGGCCTACATGCATCTTTGGGAGGGTGTTTCTCTAGGTTCTGGAAAAGCCACCCAGACAAGCACCCACTTAGGGAGGCCCTCTGCCCCATGCAGGGGCAGGTTCTTGAACCACCAACAGCATCCAACCTTCTGATGTGATCTGTTTGGCCTAATATTTTGAAAATAAACAAGTTCACAGTTAAAAATTAGAATCTCTAAGGCTGGGTGTAGTGGCTCACTGAGCCTGTAATCTCAGCTTTTTGGGAGGCTGAGGCAGGTGGATTGTGAGGTCAGCAGTTCGAGACCAGCCTGACTCGAACCCCATCTCTACTAAAAATACAAAAATTAGCCAGGCGTGGTGGTGCATGCCTGTAGTCCCAGCTACTCAGGAGGCTGAGGCAGGAGAATCGCTTGAACCTGGGAGGCGGAGGTTGCAGTGAGCTGTGATTGCTCAACTGCACTCCAACCTGGGCAACAGAGTGAGATTCCATCTAAAAAAAAAATATATATATATATATATATATATATCTCAGAATATCCTTACTTCTTTTATTTTTTTTAATTTCCTTTTTGTTGTTTTTTAGAGACGGGGTCTTGCTATATTGCCCAGGCTGGAGTGCAGTGGCTATTCACAGGCATGATCCCATTATTGATCAGCACAGTTTTGACCTGCTCCGTTTCCAACCTGGGCTGGTTCACCCCTCCTTAGGCAACCTGGTGGTCCCCTGCTCCCAGGAGGTCACCATATTGATGCTGAACTTAGTGCGGACACCCGATCGGCATAGCACACTACAGCCCAGAACTCCTGGGCTCAAGTGATCCTCCCACCTCAGCCTTCCGAGTAGCTGGGACTATAGGCACATGCCACCGTGCCCGGCTCTTTTTTTTGTTTTGTTTTGTTTTGAGATGGAGTCTCACTGTCACCCTGGCTGTAGTGCAGTGGCACAATCTCAGCTCACTGCAACCTCTGCCTCCCAGGTTCAAACCATTTTCCTGCCTCAGCCTCCCAAGCAGCTGGGACTACAGGGCATTCTCCATCATGCCCAGCTAATTTTTGTATTTTTAGTGGAGACAGGGTTTCACCATGTTGGCCAGGCTGGTCTCAAACTCCTGACCTCAAGTAATCCACCCACCTCAGCCTCCCAAAATGCTGGGATTACAGGTGTAAACCACCATGCCTGGCCTTACTTCTTTTTTCTTAAAGCAACAAAACCTGAAAATCTAGCATCACTGCACCTGCATTTGCATGTGGATCTGTGTGATAATACTTATTTTCCCCCAAATCCTGAAGCTTCATGAAGGCAGCCTCCAAGACTGTCTCACTCACCTTGCAGCCCCCGCACCTGACACAGTATGAGGCATGCCACCAAGTATTTCCTTAATGCCAATGAATGCCAGTGAAGACAGGGCCAAGCAGTGGGGAACTGCAGCTGATAAACAGGACTGTGGGCCTATTGGAGGTTCACCTTCTAGGGCTTCAAGGAATAATTTAGGGGAAATTTCCAGGGCTTAAGAGTCCTGTAGCTGAGGTAGAGTCAAGACAGGGCAGAATTCATAGAAAGGATAAGCAATATTTTATCAGAGGCCCCCCAGAACTCCTGATCCTGAGTCAAGGATCAGGAGCAAGCAGTTTATACGAGAGGTGATCTCAGGGGGCACTGGCAAGGGACTAAGGAAGGACGAGGCAGGAATGGGGAGGAAGCCAGTCATTTTCAAGTTATCACTGCAGCCATTGAAGCGCATCCCACCCCCACCCAAGAATTCTGGGTGTGGTTAAAACACATCCTTAGAGTTATTCCATCTGAGCAGTGAGGGAGCTGGGGTATTTATACACCCACTCCAGTTGAGCATTGATCCAGGGTTACTCTCAGGGGTCTGCTGAGTGGTCAATAGAGATGGCTTCTGCAGCAAGAGAAAAATTCAGACAGAAACGCAGGTGCTGGAAGTTGCAGAGCAATGAGTATGAGCAGGGCACAGGGCACAGTCAGCACCTGCTTCACTAAGGAAGCGTCCATTGTGAAAAGTAAAAAGTTCCTCTTCAAAGTTTCCCTTTTTGTTAAAGAATAAATAATAAGTGTTAAAAATAATAGTTTCTTTTAAAAACTAACTTCCTTCAAGCTTCCTTGCTTTTTACTAATAACTTTTCATTAAGCCCTATGTAGCTGTTAAATATAGTAAGGGAATAAGTACATTCTGTGTCCTTGTACTTTAACCAAGTTATTTGTTCTGGCCTATAGCCTGCTCAGGCATATTTGAACATGCCCAGGAATTTCCTGGCTTACAGCCTACACCTCTTCCTTATTTGGAAATTTTATTCTCCCAGTTTCCCATAAACAATCCCCTTCCTTTCTTTGTTCTCCATCAAGCATTTACCTATTTAGGAAAGTTTTAAGTTTTTAGCCAGTCAGGATCAGTCTAGATTGTGAGGTCCAGCTCCAGCCAATGGAGACAGGACACAGCAGTAAGGACCCAATGCATCAGCAATAAAAAAACCTCTGCCTTTCTTTGTTCAGTGTGTTCTCACAACAATCAAGATTCTGAGAAGCACCCTTTCTGGAGAAAGTAAAATTGCCTTGCTTGGAAAAGTTGTTTGTTTCAGTGCTGGTTCTTCTTTTTTTGGCACCAAGGAACAAGCATTTGTTCCCAACACCATTTACCCCATTCTCACTGTGGCATCTCCTATGCTGGTGAGAGCTGAGGTTCTACTCTAAAGCTTCTCAACATCCATTTTGCATTTTGTGGCTCTCTGGGAGTGCTCTGGGAAGTCCTGGACAGAGACTCAGGCTAGTCTTGGATAGAATTTATGTTTACAGCTTGGCCATATCTCTACTGCCATTTTATTCATCATTTATCATTTCACTTAATAACCCCTCAAACACTTAGTGAATCTCTTTGTTTGGCAGGCACTGACCTAGAAGCTGGGGTACAAAAATCAGATAAAACACAATCTCTGCTTTGAAGTACTTTATAAAGCAGTATTTCCTAGGATTTAGAGAGGTGCTAAATGCCAAACAAGATATTTTGTTAAATAGGTTTGAAAAGCTTTGCAAAATACCACCTCTTCTTGGATAACTGCAAAGCACATTGACCTATTAAAGGCTCTGAGAATGTCTGCACAAAAGATACCTGTTTAACTATTTTACCTAGGATTTTCCACACTTATTTGGCATTGGAGCCCTTTTATACCAAATTACCTTTATTAATATCCCAAGGAACTTGAATTCTGTGGAACATACTTTGACAAAGTTATTGGATTTCCATCTAACCCACTGAAGGCCTTAACAGAGAAAAAAAAAAGCAGGCTGAGTAAGCAAGGATTCACTCTTTCTCCCTGCTGGTCTTTGAGCTGGGACATCAGTCCTTTGCCATTG